TCCCTGGTCCCCTCCTCGGTGGGAGCTGGGCTGTCCCTCGCGGCCCAGCCGGGGGCTCTGAATGTATTTTGTACTGCATCTCTTCCCCAGCACCAGCCCACCCCCCCACACACCCTACCCCCCACCCTAGCTTAATTTCTAGTCTTTCTTTATCGAAGCATTAGAGGGCTGGGCACATCGGAGGACAGTCCTCTCGGAGAGACTCTTGGTCCAAGACCTGGGCCAGTTCTTTGGCTGGGGGTAACCTCCGGCCCCAGGCCTCTGTCTGAAGATTCCTCAGGTCAACACCATCATTAAATTCCAGTATTGTTGATAACTCCACCGTGTGGCAGAGTGTGGTATACGCCGGATACATGCACACATGGTGGGGAGGGGGGATAGAAGCACAGAGAAGGAATGTCCTGGGGGTGCAATCGTCTCCATTTCTATGTAGCCCCAGTAGCTCCAGTGTCGCAACCTGAATAGACAGACTTGTCCCTGTGAGTGGCATCATCTTTGGCGTCCCACTGGCTCGCTGCCGATGGGAGACTCTATTCCCCAGGTGATGGGATGACTGTCCCCATGCTTTAACGGGTCTGGGCGAGCCCCTGTGTGTGCAGTTGGGTCCGTGGGAAGAAATGGCCAGTATCAGCCGTGTGTCTTGCATGGAACTGTCTCTTTGGAGACCCCGCCTTCTGCATAAACCTTGTGCCCTCTGCAACTGTGGGGCTGTGGGCGGGGAGAGGTGGGGCGGGAGAGGGGGAAAGATCAGTGTGGTGGGGGTGTCTCTGCACCAGTATGGGCAAGGGCCTTCTAGGGTGTGTTTGTCCATGCCAGTGGGTCTCAACCTTCCTAATGCCACGACCTTTCATACAGTTCCTCACGTGGTGGTGACCCCCCAACCATAACATTATTTTCGCTGCTACTTCATCGCTGTCATTTTGCTACTGTTATGAATCGGGAGACCCCGAAAGGGTCGTTCGATCCACAAAGGGATCGAGACCCACAGGTTGAGAACCATTAGTCTATGTGTACGTGTGTGAGCCCTGTTAGCATAGTGGTTATGTGTGGGGCTGCTAACCATAAGGTCAGCAGTTCGAAACCACCAGCAGCTACTCGACAGAAAGATGGGGCTTTCTATCCCCATAGAGAGTTACAGTCTTGGAAATCCCAGGGGTGTTCTACCCTGCTACAGGCTTGCTGTAAGTTAGAATCAACTTGATGGCAGTGAGATTTGTGTTCATGCTTGTGTGAGGGTGGTGTGGGTGCACACAGAGGGAGGAAGGATGGTAGACAGTGAGGGGGGATGGGGACAGGGAAGGGACCCTGCCCCTCAGTGGATGGGACTGGGGATCAGTCTCCAGACCTGCCAGGACCCCTGAAGAGAGACTCTGTGCCTCTGTTCCCCAACACTGGGCCCTTTATGGGGAGATGCTGAGCCTCCTGGACAGAAAGGGGGACATGGTTTATGCACTACCATGTGGATAGTAGGGGGGGGGGGCAGGCAGAGCTTGTAGGGCAGGGGGATGAAGGGGAAGGCTTGTGGGCTGGGAGGCTGAGTGTGTTCGCACTGGTCCAGGTAGGGAAGAAGAAGGAAGTGTTCACAGAGGGGTGAGCAGGAGGTGGTCTGGGTGAGGACATGGCTTCTCTGGGGGTGCCGGCTGACATTCAGAAACCATTCTGTGATGGTTGACCAAGCTCTGATCTGGGCCCCAAGCCCAACTCTGAACCCAGTGGCTAACCAAGACCTGAGCCTGGTCAGACTGAGCTCTAATTTTAGAGCCCCAAATAGGGTCTCACAGATGGATCCCTGAGTCTAAAACTCACCCCAAGTTTATAGACTAAACCCCAATCTCCGGCTACTGTCCAAGCCCTCAATGTACCACGTTAGGGGAAGAATGCCAATTGCCCCAGATGGAATAGTGAGTCTCCCAGGTTCTGATCCCAGGCCCTGACCCTGGGCCAGACGAGGCCAGCTGGAGTTCTGACCCTCTCCAACAGGGCCCATAGACTAAGCACCCTAACCCATCCTCAACTCCATGTTGCTAGTGTATGCTGACTGCTCCCTCATCTCTCCCTGAACCGGATCCCAGTCTTGGGCCTGGATCAATCCCAAACTTGATCATTTTGAACCCTGACTTTGCCCTTGCTGGAGCCTCATCAACTTCAGACTGAGCCTCGACTCTGGTTCCAGCAGGAACCCTTAGCCCACATGCCAGGTGTTTCCACGTCTTTTGAGTGTTAGCGCATTGGCCTCAGCTGATGGAAATGATGGAGGCCATGACCCTTCTAGCCCCGTGTTCACGGGCTTCCCCTCTTCAGCCCAAGGCCACACCCTGGTCCTCACTCTTCCACTCCATTCCTCAGTCGGGACCACTGAGAGCACTTTTGACCCAATATGGAGGCTGAGACATACTGTGTGGCAGCCTGCTCTTTGCCTGGCCCATTCCTATTTGTCACACTGTGGTGTAGTGGTGACGCATTGGCCTGTGTGGTAATTACAGAATCTGGTGTCAACTTGAGAGTATTAAGAGTGAAGGGGTGGAGCCTAGCCTGTCAATCAGGTCTTGGTTTGATGATCTCATTTGGAGATGCTACAGAAATAAATAGCTTCGCTGGAGGCGGGACACACAGACTCACTCTGCTTCCACATTCCTGTTGATAAGCCAGATTGAGCTACACTAATGGAGCCAGAGCCCTGGAGCTGGAGGAGCCACGTGGAGACCCCTGCCAGTGTTGAGACACTTCCACCATCACTGGATCCACAAGACTTTCCACCCACTGGCCTATGATCTTCTTGCATTCTGCATCATTGCATGTGTTGCGTGGGTCTAAAAGGAATTTGCAAACTGGTATCGGACATATGGGCTAATATCAGACTTATGGACTTGATCTGGACTGGGCTAAGATGTTTTCTTAATGTACAATTGCTCTTTGATATAAGACTCTCTTACACACATATGAGTCTGCCTGGATTAATTCTCTAGTCAACCCAGACTAACGCAGGCTGCTAACCGCAGGTCCACAGTTTGAAACTACCAGCCGCTCCCCATGAGAAAGACGAGGCTTTCTACTCCTGGCAAGATTCACAGTCTCAGAAACCCACAGGGGGTGGTTCCACACTGCCCTGTTTGGTCACAATGAGTTGGAATGGACCCAGTGGCAGCGGGTTTGTGAGTTTGAGACCCGCCACCTTGAATTAAAGAGCTAGGGGCGCTCAAGGTAGCAGGGGTTCACGTACCCGATGAGTGGTAGGCCACCTGGTGAGATGGAGGTGCAGAAACGGCATGCCAGACTCTGCTTAGTGTTCTGGGGATGAAAGCCAGAACACGGCAGACAGAACTCATGTCCCTACAGAGCTTACGTTTGACCCAATCCTGTGCTCTGGGGCATCCAAAGGAGGCGGTGTTGGTGAGCTAAAGAGGGTCGTTCAGGGCCAGCCCCGTGAGGTGTGTAAAGATGGCTCAAGTCACTGAACAGGAGGACGCTGAGGGTCAGGGAGGTGCAGGAGTCACACAGAGAGTTAGTACAGAGACAGGATCAATGCCCTCGTCTCCTCGCTAGGCCACTAGACCCCAAAGTCCCACTCCATGGCCAGTGACAGAGTCCTTGCACCTGAATGGGGGAGGGAAACTCTGGATCCCTGTGGTGGGGGGGGGGATGGTGGTGGTGGCGGGG